GGGCTGCGCGGGCGGCCCCTCGGCACCCTCGGCACCCTCTCCCCTGCGCCGGACGGGTGCGCGGGACAGCGGGCCGGTGCGCATTCTTCCCGTGCCTAGGATACTTCGGGTGTTAAAAATAGCCCCCAGAGCGGCGCTCAGCATTTAGACAGACGATGGTCTGTAAACTAGGTGGGAGTCCTGGGTTCGAATCCCAGGAGGGCCCCCTCCGCGCCGGGGCACGTCGATCGGCTCGCTCCCTGAGCCTCGGTGCCCCCGTGCGTGCGTGCGCACCAGGATTTCTAAGGCGCTTTCCAGCTCTTGGAAAGGAAAGGAAAAAAACAACAACAAAAAAACCTCGATTTTTCTTTTCTGCTCCTGCCGGAGGGACCTTGGGGCCTGGGGCCGGGAACTGAGGCCGGGGGAGGGGTGTGCCAAGACGGCTCATTACCGCGAGGTGTTGCCCTAGTTAAATCACCGGCCTGTTTGATCTGGAGGCGGGTGGCGAGAGGGAAAAAAGAAAAAAGTAGGGGGGTAGGAGTGGAGAGAAGCTCACACCTCCCCCACCGTTTCCTCACGTCCATAAAACACCTTTTATTAACTCCTTCGTGTCCGGGAAGGCCCGCGTGGCCGCTCAGCCCCTGCCACGGTGTTTACAGCCAAGACTAATGGGGCCCTATATTCACCCCAATGCCAGGACGAGGCGCCTGGATACGCCCGGCCCCAGAGCTGCCGGGGGTCTCCTTTCTCGGCCCCAGGCCAGGGCCTCCAGCTCCCGGTGTGGAACTCGAAGGCTCGAACGCGCCGAGGGACCCGCACGCGTGTTCTCGCGCCTCCCCGGGAGCGAGCGGAGGGAGCACCGGGACCTGTACAAGCGCTGCAGACAGGCGACCCTCGGGCGGTCATGGGAGCAGTTCAGAGGCTTAAAAGCACTTAGCCTAGTGCCTAGCTCACAGATGCAAGCAAAACTAGTTGTACTCTATTATCGGGACGCGTAATCGCCTTCATTTGCCCGCCCCAGTTTAGCGTAGCACGCGGCACTACTTGGCGAATGCACCCGCTTTTAGTCTCTCTCCCCCCTCCCCCCCCCACACGCGCACACACCCAACCACAGGCGCACGTGGGAGCGCAAAGATGGCTCTCCTGTGCAAGTGGCGGGATTAGCATGCACATACACCCACCCCTTTGCACAAATCCATATGTTCTAACAAGTATTTGTTGAGCGCCTTGTTGCTGGAGAGAAACCTAAATGTCTCAATTTAACCATAAGCATTCACAAGCTTATTTTACTTACGTATAAAATAATAGCTGCTACAACCTGTCGAGTCCTTACTGCATGCTGGGAGCTATGCTAAGCAGACCCTGGCTGGCTGTGGCACAGGCTCCCGCCCCTGTGAGTTCCCGCACCGTCCCACGCACAGCTATGTGCTCATCATTTCATGTGCGTGGACACAGTATTCTCGAGCACAACCTTCTCTTCCCAGCCACACTGCCCTCGGGATGACGCCCTTTCGCGATAACCCCAGCAGGCTTTCTGCAGACTCCGGAGTGCATCCTAACCAGGTGTTAGACCAGCCCAAAGACTGATCCACCTAAATCCCAGCCAGACAATCTGGGTCTAATTCCCTCCTAGCTTTCCGTTCTGTGGCTTCACTAAAGTTATCCTGTCCCGCAGTGTCCTCAAGAGAATGTCGTCGTTCGTTCCAGGAGTGAGTCCTTGATCTGCCCCCTCCCCTTGACTTGCAGTTTGGTTTGGCAGATTTATCGAAAGAAAGGAACAGGAGGCTCTCCATCTAGCAGAAACAGTGAAGCCAGGGATACCCACCAAAGACATCACACAGGCTTCCTCCGGTTTTGGAAAATGTTTTATTAGTCAAGAGCATAGATACTGCTTTGGCAAAGGGAGGGGCGGTGAGTGGTCATAGAGATTGAGGTAGAAAAAGGGCGGGGTTGGGGAATAAACACCTGAGCGCAGCAGGCACCGTAGGTAGTTTAAATACATAAAAACTTTTCAACACAGGGAAAAGCTTTTATTTACAAAGGAAGGAAGAAAGGGGGGAGAGAAAGAGGAAGGTGAAAGGAAGGGAGGAAGGAAGGAGGAAGGAAGGAGAAAAGAAAGAAAGAAGGGCAAAAAGTTTCCCTTGGAACTAAGTAGGAAGTGCAGCGACAAAAAATAAAATAATAAAATAAAAACACCACTGTTTAAGGAAGATCAGTAACAAAAGGCAGCCCTCCATCTTCCCAATCTGGTTCTCCGTTCTTGGCAGTAAACTATTGATTCCTCTTATTGCATTTTAATTAGGGAATTGAGCGCTGGAGGGTTTTGATTGGAAGCAGAAAGGGGAGGAGAAAGAGAGCCAGACAGCGTAGTGGGGAAAGCCCTGGGGGTTCCAAATTCGCCCCAGAAGGGTTGGGAGGGTGCGTCTTAGCCCGCTCGAGTCCTGCAGTCCCTCCCTCCTGTATAATGCCACCAAGAGCCGCCCTCTCGGTTCTGGGGGTGAATATATATATTTCTTTCTCTTAATGTATTAAAACAATTTCAAATGACATTGCACGTGCGATCCAAGTGTGTTGTTGCAGCCGGCGACCTGCCAGCGCGCAGCAGAGGCTCGGCAGGACGCGCCCTATAAGCCCTGGCACCCAGAGCCTGGCGCTCGCCGCGCCTTCCTCTCCTCCCAGGCCTCCAGGGTCCGGCCGCGGTGGCGGGTCCTCGGCGGCCTGGGCTCACTGGTTTAATTCCAGCGCCCAGACTTGCTGTGGCCAGCCCGTGCGCCCTTTAATCCTCTTCTCGCCGGGGCCCAGGGCAGGAGGAAAGCCTTCGTGCTGCTGCTGCCAGGGACACACACAAGAAAAGAGGCGAGAGAGACAGGTTTAAAATTTTCTGCTCCAGTCGCCTGAGTGTAGAGTGGGGTCAGGGAAAAGGTGTTGGGAGCAGTAACTGGGACCCTTTAAACAAGTGGCAGATTTCTGTTTGCGAAATAGGCAAACAGGCTCATAAAATTTGCCTTTATGCGCCGAGTTCCTGGGAGGCAGGATGGCCTGAGCAGCTGCTGGATGTTCCATAATGAGAATTTTCTGCATCTAGTGAAATTGATGCACCTACGTTTGGTGTGATGGCACCCAAGAGAGACTGGTTGGAATGGGAGGGGTGGGAACCAACAGTTTTCCCACTCTCTGACCCGCTTTCCCCACGCATCCCACAGATTTCCATCCTGGTTTAGCGCCTGGGTTTGGATACTGGGTTGGATCCCCACCCACCGGCGCTGGGAAGCTTCAGACGGCTAGGGGAAGGGCAGTCGGCCTGGCCTACTACCCCCCTCTCCCCTGCTCTCAATCAGAAACTAAGCGGTGCTACTAGAAGGAGGCAGCGATGTGTAGAAGGTGGGAATATGCCCAATAACTACTGCCACCAAGGCGTCACCAGGCCTACATCTCCTCTAGCCCAGGGCGGTGGTTTAGACTCCAAGCATATCTGTCTTTCCCAGTCTCCCCAGGTGTGATTTCCCTAGTTTTCTACAGCCTTTGGGGGTCAGATCAAACCTGGCAGGGGCTCTCTAGTCAGCTTTCACGGTCAGCACACCTGAGCATACCAACCTAGATAAACTAGTTCTCTACCCTGGAAATTTCTGCCCTTTGAGGTTCCACAGCTCTGGGCCAGCAGAACCGGGCTTCAGAAAGTGTCGCCCTCACTGGATCGAGAAGAGACTATGATCTCCAAAACCAAAAGAAATTAGTGAGACTCGAGCTCTTGCTTGTTGGTGTTGACACACCAAACCATCAAGGTCGCCCTTGGAACTAGCCCCTGGGAAGTGGCTCTCTGGACTGAGAGTAGAAGACCTAACTTGTTTTACCCCAGCAGTGCCTCTGGCTCCTTCAGTAGGTGGCCTTCACATCCCCTCCCACTCTGGGCCTCAGTTTCCCTATCTGTCCAAAGATGGAAGTAGACTAGCCTCTCCAGCAAAGGCCCTATGAAAACAGTAAGTCAGTCCATAATCATAAATTCACACTCCGGCACATTAAAGTAATGAACTCCTACAGCATTCTTAAACTGGCTTCCAGGAGAGCGCAAGGATGGCTAAGGACCCCTCAAAATTGGAAGCGAAATATATGATGTGTGCATTTTCTCGGGATCTCAAGCTTCCAATAGATTCTTAAAAGGGACTCCATGACCCCCTACGAAAAGATTAAGATTCTGTCTTCATTCACAGCCTTACAAACAATATCCTTCATTACAAATTAAGTTCAAATATTAATCTTTCTTCCTTACGCACACAATCCCGCAATTCGACCATCTCAGAACCCCCCGCAGCCTCTCAAAATCTCGCACACGGCAACGCAGACTCCTTCAATTGCGCGCTCGCCTGCGGTGCTCACTGCTCGCGCCCTCGGCTGGAGCGTACAGGCCCCCGAACTTACCAGCTCCCTTTTCCTCTTGCTCTCGCGACCGCCATCTACCTTCTTGATTTCGGCCTTGAAGGCCTCGGGGTCTCCGGCCTGTGTGTCCTTGGCCAGCACGTCCATCAGGTAGGCGATGTAGCTGGTGGCCAGGCGCAGTGTCTTGATCTTGGAGAGCTTGGTGTCCGCCGGCACGTTAGGGATACACTCGCGCAGCTCCGCAAACGCGCTGTTAATGCTCTCTGTGCGCTTCCGCTCCTTCTTGGGTCCCGGGCCTTTCCGCCGGCCCAGGCGGCCGCTGAGGGCCTCCAGGGGCCCGGGGCTCTGGCCCGACGCGTTGTCGGGAACGTAGGCGGCGGAGGCTGCGGCTGCTGGGGGCGGTGGCCCGGCAGCGGGGAAGTCCGGAGCCGCGTCCGGGGGGCTCAGCAGCCAGCTCTGGAAGTAGGGCCGCTCCTGGTGACAGCGCGAGGCCGGGCCGAAGAGGAAGGGCTCGTGGAGCACCGGGTGCGCAGGGTGTGGGTGGTGATGGTGGTGATGGTGCGCGTAGCTGCCCACGAGGTTCATGTTGGAGCGGCACCCGGCCTGCACCGCCAGCCCACTTAGTGCTGCCCCATGCACTCCGGAGGCTACCGGGGGCCCTCCCCTGGGCTCTGCGGCAGCTCCGGTGGGCGCGGCGTTCGGAAGAGCCCCGGACAAGGCTAAAGAAGAGGCGCGCAGCCTGCCGCGTTCTGCCGTCCGTCTGTCTTTCTCGGCGATACCGAAGATGTCGAAGTCGAGAGACCTGTTTAACCCTTCTGTGGCCTCCCCTGCAGGGTCTGGCTTATATAAGGCCACGGCTTTGATGTCAACCTCTCCCTGGAGCCAATAGCAGGGGGGTGGGGGGTGGCCGTCCCTGTTTTTAAGCTCAGCCTGCGCCACTCGCCTCGAGGCTGCCTGCGGGGGACCGGGAGGCGGCCCCGCCCCCGCCCCTCCCCCTCCCGGTTCCCAGCTGGGGTGAGGGGAGGCGGGGGCGACGTACTTGAGGCACAGGCCTGGAAGGTGGTTGCCACCCTCCCCCCCACACCCGAGGAAAGAAATCTGGAGTCACCTAGCGAAAAGGCCTTCTAGAGCCCACCCTTTGATTTCACCCACAGGGAAACTGAGGGCCAGAGAAAGAAAGGTTCTTGTTCTAGACCCTCCAGAATGTAAAACAGGAATTCCAGCGGTCCCCGGCTCCGAACTCCATTGCTCCCTCTTGGCGTCGGAGGCAGAAGATGAGAGGGTGCTGCCGGAGGCAGGATAGGCCCCGGAGGCTCTTCCCCGAGCAGCCCAGCCCCCAGTCGTCG